TGGATGGTTGGCTTTTTTTTTTTTTTTTTAATCGAAACAGAGTCTCCCTATAGCCCCAGCTGGCCTGGAACTCTACTACTAGACCAGGCTGACCTCAGTCTCACAGAGTGCTGGGATTAAAAGTGTCCCACCAGGCGCAACATAGTTTCATTTTTAAGAATAGTTATTTCTGGTTGTAGCCCAGCTTTTTCAAGCCAACTATAAATGTAATAATAAAATTCTGTATTTTCACATCACCTAGGTTATTGTTAAGCTTACTACAGTTTGAGATTCCCCTAGCTTATGTATAATTAAGTTAAAAGATACTGCAAAAATAACTACTTTTAGCTGACTTTTAAATTATTATATATCTTGTAGCTCTTGGGCAGGGATTGAAGAAAATAGATGTTATCCTAGAAACAAATCATAAGAAGTTTTGGTACCACTGTTTCAAATGAGCTACTTCTAGACTACTAAGGATAGCTAATACTACTTTTGGAAAAAAGTCAACAGTAGCTTGACTACTTTTGGAAAAAAGTCAACAGTAACTTGACCTCTTTTTTCCATTACAGCTTTCTGCTTTCTAGAAGCTTGAGAAGTTGAAGAACAGTCTGTTCCCTGCATATTTATAATTCTTCTGCGATATGATTTTTTTCAGTGCACTTTGGGTTAGCAGCCTGAGCGCCCCTTGTCTGTTTCTTTTCCAAGACAATTGCCCTTAAGGGGATTAGAGGAGTGCATTTGCACATGAGCAAGATCTGGAGTTTTGAGTTTACTGAGCCCAAAGGGCTCCTGCAGCAATTAGAGACCACTCCCTTACCCCCCACCCCCACACTCTAGCCCCTTGTAGGAGAGCTGTATCCTGATTCATTATCACAGGAACCAAGTGGAGCAGTGAAGCCTCTGTTCAAACTCAGGCTGGAGTTCAGTTTTTACTGTGTCTCAGTGGTCAGTTTCACCTTCTAGTTCTTTGCTAGCACATAATTTGACACTTAAGAAGGATTTGTGAATGAATAGGAACACTGGTATTCTGTGATCTCATAGAATATCATAAACCTTGATTCTCTGCAGAATTGTTGAGAGCTAAAGGTCGAAAGAAACCATTAAGGACTCATCTGCATTCCGTAATAAGTTTCTGTTACATTATTGTCTTATTAAAGTTCAGTAATACAATTAGAGGAGACCATGGACTCATGAAATTTTTTTTAGGGAGGAAGTAAGTATGTTAGGAACATAGCCAGGAAGGCCAGGCTTCATTTTCAGTTAAGAGGTGAGCCCACTGAGACACAGAAAAGTAAGGTGTCATAGGAAAGTTTTAGAGACAAGCCCCTGGTCACTACATTGACAAGAATAGGCTCCAGGGGAATGTAAATAATATTGTTCCTATTCGGTTGTCATGGGGTCTGACTTGGTTTTCATCTGAGGTTATTTGTGTCTGCAGGGTGGAAATACGTCTTCTTAATTAACATTGCACACTGTACGGCATTAATGTCCCACACATGAGTACCTTAATTAGGGTTTCCAGACCAGAGTCACTGGGAGCTAATTAACCTCTGCTGTCTCCTGAGAGTTGTTTTGCAGTTTAGATCAGTGATCCTAATAAATGCCTATAAGCTAGCTGCAGCCCAATTGCCCAGGAACTTTCTCAAAAGCAGCACAGGCCCACCCTCAAGAGATTTGGACTCACGAAACCAAGGAGAGTCCTTCCCAGGCATCAATATCTTTTATGAAGCTTTGGGAGTAAGTCTGATAGTGTCCACACTGGGAGATTTGCAGTTTTAAAGGCTCTCTGCTACTACTGAGGCAACAGCTTTGAAACATTACATAATATGAGTTATATGTGCTGGATCATAATATAACTTTCAAACTTAAATTTAGTAATAGCTCACTCTCCAACACTCTTGTGCTTATACAGAACCTTTTTCTAATAGAAACAATTAAGTTGATAACTATGTTACATTTTTTACACACCTCAGGTACAGAATGAATAATTTTATTCAGAGTTCATATTATTACATATGCCATGGTTTTTTTGTTTGTTTGTTGATTTCCAAGTGTCTTGAATTGCAATGTTAAG